ATTGGTAATGCAACATAACCAGCGATATGGAGTGTGTGAAAAAATGTTTAATTTAAAATTTGTTAAAATTGACATTCTCTCTTTTTTCAGTGAAGCCATTAAAAATTATCATTTAGTATATTAAAATAAAAAATTTCTTAAAATAAATGATTAATGATTTACAATTAGTCATACATAAAATAATAAAAATATTTTACAATTTATTAAATATAAAATATAAAATAATATATGTTTATTTAATAAATTTTATATATATATAAATAAGTGATTATATATATCTCATATAATTATAAATATACACACACACACATTTTCATAAACATATATATACATATAATATACATATAATATATATTATAAATAATAAGTATATATTATATAATAACAAATATATATTAATATTATATAATAATAAATATATATTATAAATAATAAGTATATATAATAAGTATATAGAAGTAAACCATATTTGAGATTTTACAACTCAAAAGTAAAATAAAAATAAAAACTTGTACTTTAGAGATTTCCATCTTCAAAAAGGATAAAAAAGACTTGATGAAAGTATGTACTTTAAACTCCCTGTCAATTTTTTCAAAGCGCTTCGTTTCTTCTGGAAGTTGAGTCCTAATATCTTCAGAACCAATAAAAATACTTTCTAGATAACCCCATGCTCGTTGTACCTCGAACCATGCATTAATTACGGCATCTGCTGTACGTAATTTTCTCTGCCAGTCAAGGATTTCATCGAGGAAATATCCGACAAATTTCGAACCTAACATATTTTGTAGCTGCACCTATTATAAAAGAAAAAATAACGTATTAATATATGTGGTCATAAGTTAATTCAGTCGAAATAAATAAATATTAAAATAATAGAATAAAATAGAAAAGGAGAAAGTTCAAAAATAAAGTAAAACAGTGAGAAAGAAATTAAATAGGAATCTTTAAGTAAGTTGTAACAAAAATAAAATAAAATTTCATTAAAATTAGAAGAAGCTAATTCACATATTGTGAAGATCATAGCGTAATAAAAAGTATATAGGTCAATATAATTTGAAAACTGGATGTTCGTTAAAAAAAAAAAAAAATTACATAATTCATATGTTATTTAAAATATTTTCTTTTGTTCATGCCTATTTTTCAAAAAAGATAGATACGAATATTTTTGTAACTAGTATAGAAAACGTAATTTGTGTACAAAATATGTACAATTTGTTATATTGTTTGTCAAAATTTATTTGTATTTGTTTATATACAGAATATAATAGTCTTTTATATTTATTAATGAGAAAACATAAAAGTATAATATTGCAAAAGAAATTCAATGACAGAAAATAAAGAAAAAATTGGAATAAATGATTTTATTTTTTATTATTTATTACATACTTATATATTATTATTTATTATATATTATATATTATAATTTTATTTTTTATTATTTATTATATAGGTTATTATATTAAAAAGATTAAATAAAATTATATTAAAAATATTAAATAATAAAAAGATTAAATAATATTATAATAAATATTATAGTATTATAATTATAATAAAAAGATTAAATAATATTATATTAAAAGAATTATTTAATTTTTAATAATTAAATATGTGAAGAATATTATTCTTTTAAATAATTATATATTTCTGTATATTTCATTAACTTATATATTCTTATATATTATATATTCTCTGTATATTTCATTAACTTATTTTCTTAATAAAGAAATAAAGAAACTTATTTTCTTGAAACAATACCTGATTATCCTCAAGAGTTTCAATATTTTCTTCCTCGATCTTAAGAATATATAATTTCGTACGGTCGTGTAGTTCTTTGCCAAATTCAAGCGTACTCCAAATGTCGTAAAGTTCTTTCAACACCTTTTCCATTGCCATTTCCTTTACTGATTTAGCTACAATATTTTTCACTTCTTCTTCATACTTATGTAATTGTAACTTTAATAAATCTTCCAACGTGGTAGTGTCGGTCATGATGAATACCACCTGTAATATTTAATAATTTAATTTTATAACAGAAAATATTTATAACTTTTACGTATCATAAATTACATTATATTTCATGTTTCCACTGTTGTACTTGTATTTTAAATTGCGTACAAGAATTTTCCTTAGTAACTTCCCTTTTCTAAGTAGTAAAATACTTCCGTAATTAATAATATGTATAATACATATAATTTTTAAATTTCATATAACTATATAGAATTTTAAAATTTTATAATTATGATATTTTGAATTTAAAAATTCATTGATTCATTGAAATATGAAAACTAATTATTTTATTTAAATTATTGTATATAAATTATGATAAAATATTTTAAATAAATTATGTATATCTTTCTTACATTTATTTAGAAATATATAAGGCATATATTATATATTATATATTATATATAATTTATTTTATATATTATACGTTACACGAATATAATTAATTATAGTTTTCATTCTAATTCGAAAATTAAAAACCAATTATGCTTACGCATACATTATTCATTATTGACATAAAATGTGATAAAATATATTATAGTAAATTAATTAAATAAAATGTAAACAAGACAAATATGCAATACATTTTAATTTCTAAAGAAAAGAATATCGTATTAGATGAAATTTCAAAAGCTATAACATAGATTAGTTAATTGGTACTATTATTGCATTATAATGTTATCTTTTTGATTTTAAATTTTCTACTATTATTAATGATATTTTAATTTATAATTATTAATATTACTGCTATTACATTTTTTATATTTTTATTATATTTAATATTTTGATTACGTTTTTTCCATTGCAGATTATCATCATCATCATCATCATCATCATCATTATTATTATTATTATTATTATAATATTTGTATCATTATAATTATATTTGGAAAATTGAAGATGCAGAATATAAAAAATAAAATAATATATAAAAGTATATAAAATAGCTTAATAGTGCAATCATAATCCATACAATATTCAGTTGCTAATATAAACTACTATTTAGATTCAATTTTTTCAATTATCTTCATAAGAATATAAATTTACAGAAATATTTGCAATCTGGTAATAATACCATCGCTGAGATTTTCGGCTTGTTTTCACCGCGCAATGCTGTAATTAAAATTTATAATTAAAACGAAGGCTTAACTAAGAGTTGGCCTAGTTAACCAAAGATCTGGCTCAGATTCAACGAGTTCAAGTATAAGCACAATATGTTTTCCCATGTATGGTAATCGAGTTGCTGCAACTTGAGCATAGAAACGTAGAGGATTTACGCAATAACGAGTAAATAGTTTCCATAATACCATGGAATCGGTATTAACGATACCACTGTTAACTACCTTTGTTTCCGCCATTAATTCTCTCCAATGTCTATCTCTAATTGCTGGATTCTGCAATTCTGAGACTGCTCTCAATGATGCCATCATGTTCCTCACTTGTGCTTCGACGTTGCTGTACAATTCCCAAGGGCGAACATCTTTGTCCAATTCTAGCAAGGGAAATATTTGTGAGATTATTATAATTGTTTTGCAATAAATAATATAGAAAACCATTTCACCTAATTTTAGTTATGGTTTATATATAGAACTACACATCTACAAATATAGGAGTCATATTTAGTTTTCATTTGAAATGAAAATAAATTTTTCCGGCTTTTCCCAATTTTTGCTATTTTGTTAAAACAAGAAATCAATTGGGGTAGTTTGAAAAAGTTATATAGCTTTTTGTTACTTAAAAAAGAAAAAAAAATTATGTTAAAGAAATTATAATGGACAGAATTAACAAACAAATTAGAAATTTAATCCAAATGAATGTTATATCTATAAACAGAATACAATATATTACTATTAGATTGCGAATTTTATGCATTTTTAT